TGGAAACATTCAAGGCCAGGTTGGATGGGGCTCTGAGCAACCTGATCTGGTTAGCGGTGTCCCTGCTCCTGCAGGGGGGTTGGACTAGATGACCTCTAGGGGTCCCTTCCAAACCAAAACATTCTATGATTCTATGATTTTTCTCCATGGGCACTCAGCATTGGTTTATCTGCCACCCTGACATTTTCTGGAGGCTTCCTGTTCTCTGGCAGGGCAATAAACATTATTAGCACAGACAGCAGGGAGGCGAGGTCCGAGGGAATATGGGCAGAGCTTTATGGTATGTTTACAAAAGGCAGCCAAAAAGTTGACATCAGTATGTACAGAACTGCCACAATACAGCTGCCACATTGACACTGTGCATGGCTGGGGGTTATGGTCCTCTGAAAAAAAAGGTGAAAACCTGCTATGATGTACAGCTGGCATAATTTTGGGAAAAAATATTGTTTTGTGGCTTTTAAAGTACATCTTTCTTATCATACCATTTCTGATAATGGGTATTCTGGGCCTGTTGACGGCAGTAGCTTTGTCCCTAAGATCCACACGAGAAGGTCTGGAGGGGTTGGATCCTCCAGGACTGGCTCATGCTTCATGTCTGCCAGCATCTTTCTAGTCTTGCTCCCTCCTGCGATGCTTTCCTCCTTCTCTCAAGACTGTGTGTCTTGGCAGTGCCATTTCCCCACCTGATCCTTATCTTGCTCTTGGCTGCTGGACTTCCAGGACGCGAGGGCACGTTCCTGCTTCGCAGCTGAACATATCTCCAGGGTTGAGCCGCAGGAATGTGCTTCCCGAGGAGCTCAGCATTTGAAACGGCAGCCTGTGTTTGGTAACACAACCCAGCCGTGATTACTGGAAATGTTGCTCTCTACCTCAGGGCTGCAGCAGATAGAAAAGGCTTTACAAATCACAGATGAGGACAGAGAAGTTCATCCTGAAAAAAGGAAGGCACGGTGTTCAGCAATGCTCATCACACACTTGAGCACATTTTCTGTAATGACCCTTAGGAAGGGATTCAGGGGACCAGGCTGACCAGGCTTAATTCAGTTATTGATGAAAATTACAATCTAAGAGCAGGCACCAGAGTTACAGCTGGCTGGGATGGAGCCAGCTCACCAGGCACCTGCATTTATTGCGTGCTCATTGCAGCCCAGAGAGCTCTCTCCTTATTATGCCAGGCTGCATGCGTTTCCTTTTATGTTATCCTAACCCTGGGGGCATTCACTGGAAATGCCAGACAGCACTGGTGGTCATCCCAAGGGTCCTGCTTCCTGCACATTTTAGGGATGCCTCCAGCATGGCAGCCTGAGGCAACCCAGGGTGCTGCCCTGTGTCTCCGCACCCCTCTGTTGGGTGGCTGGTCCCTAAAGCCCTCCCTGCCCATAGTGTCCTCTTGCTGGGGAAATCGGCCGAGATCCATAATTCTGAGCTGCGCTGGGAGTCGGTGCTGTGAATTCACACATGGGAGGGCTTATCCCTGTGCCCACCTTTGCAGGTTGAGACACAACCTCAGAGCCAACAAGTGCCATGGCTGGATGCGAGGAGCCACCTGAGTCCTGATATAGCCCAAATTTAGCCCTTTTCCAGTCTGTCCAGCTCTATGGATTGCAGCCTTCATCCTTAAATAAGCTGCAGGGTGATGGGAGAGCTGCCCGCAGCACTGCAGCCTGCCCGATGCCGAGGGATCGGCAGGGGTGGGGGGAGGAGCCTATGGGATCTGCCTTGGTTTCCATTAGCTTGGCTTGCTGCACTGCAATTTTTAACTCAATTACATTGTTTGTAAAAGGGGAGTTTATAAATGCTTGTCACCAAGAGAACAAAGTTACATAATTAAACAATTTACCAGCGAGTCTGTGGCTTCAGTGCAATTCTCTGGGGTGATTCAATATTCCAATAAAAATACTGGGTGATACCATAAATATTGTAAATGGCTCTAGATGGTTTCCAAGGGCTATGTCAACTGTTTATTGCCTTCAAAGAGAAAAGAATAAGTGAAATCACAAGGAAGATAAAATTTAAATAAATAAAATAATGGGGAAAATAAAGCAAAAATATTTTCTTTTGTATTTTGAAAACTCTGGAGGATGTTTTTGGCCAGCATGAGAGAAGGCTATCACATCTACCAGAATAACGAACCAAGGGCATCTGTGTGCACTTGCTCATAGGTTATAGATGTGTGTCTGTGGGGGCTGTGCACGGATGCTTGGATAAAATCTACCCACAACACAGGGAAACCCTCCCTGTATGATTGATTGTGGCATTTGCAAATTCCAGCCATGGAACCCAGGAACGCATCTGTTTTCCTGGCCAAGCTGCTGGGCTCCTGCAGCCCTGCCGCAGTGAGGGCAGCCGAAGGAGGATGCCACAAGCAGGCAGAATTGCGGGATAGATTACCCATATAATTGAAAACTGAGGAAGGTTGTTTAAAAGTTGTTATTGAAGCAAGATAAATATTTTCCAGGCATGATCCCACCATGCAATGACAAGTAAGCTGTGTGGAATGTGTTAATAAAATATAAATGTTCTGAAAAGGAAACAAATGTTGAGAGCGAGAAAACAAGGACAAAATGGACTTGTGGCACCTCCAAAGGCAACAACTGAAAACATATTTACATGGACTGGTCTGAAGTCTCTCGTATCTTCTGAGGAACGTAAATTGCAGTATGTGCGGGTCACCCAGTGGAGTAGTGGGGTTTCACTGTGCCATAAAAACCCAAATACTGCTCCCACTGTCCATCTTTTACTTAACGTGGAGATGTGGGGCTTGGCTGCTTGAGGAACAGGGGACACCCGAGCCACCGCATGAGCAGCCTGCACTGGCATCAGGAGCAGAAGCTTTGGTGCCGCCCAGCAGAGGCACCTGGGTCACACCATGCCCCCCTGCAGGCTGGCGATGCCCTGCAGCCCACGGGCAAGCCCCTTCTGCGCGGGGCAGCTGCAGCGGATCTGCAGGGGCTCCAGCAAGGGCTTCTGGCACATGAAGTGCCACCAGCCAGTGGTGGAGGCCTGGGGGTGGAGGCCTGGCAGGGGGGGCCCCGCGGGGGCGGCCCCGGG